ACCACATGTGGGGAGGTAGTTTTCTGTCTCCTTTCATAGAGACCAGACTGGCTTTCTGCCTTTGTTCTTTTCCGCTTCATGCTCAAGCCAATCCTCCCAAAGCCTGTCTCCAGGAATCTCTGGAAGGTTGGGAAGTGAGAATTTTGGTAATACAAACATCACCTTTCTACCCTTGATTTTTCTCAAATGAAGATCAATGGTAAATGACCTCCCTCTTGGGGCACAGTTTATGGCCAAGTGGCCTTTTCTATTGAATCCAAAGTTGACTGACAGGATCATAACACTAGGAGGAGAGAGAGGTTGGCTCTGGGAGAGCTGTAGGCCAGGGAATACAAGTAATGTCATGTATGACTGGATAGGGCAGAGAGAACAGGAGAGAGAAAAACTGGCTACATAGGCAAAGAAAAGACACATCTACCTAGGGAAATGCACTCAAAATTTTGACGGTTAAATCCAACCTGTCTTCCTGTGTCTCCTGCAACTGCCTTTGTGCTCACAGCACCCAGTTATTTTGTATGGCAAAACAGAAGGGGCAACTCTTTCCTAGAATACTTAACAGCAATTCAAACATTCTTCTTACTCTCATGCGCCTATTATCCGTCAAACGTTTCCTTAAAACTCCTATTCTAGTTTCCAAGGCTATGGGTAATCTTGGCATCAGCTTAAACATCTCCTCTACTATTCTGAGACTTAGAATCTCTGGTCCAAGTAGTTAGTACTAAAAAGGTACAGACATAAACATAAAATAAATCCATCCAGTTGAAAATTGGCCTAACAAAGCTAACGCAAGTACTAAAGGCCATACTTACGCTGTAGGCATATATCTTGAGGCAATAGTGAATCTTTTCTTGCACAGACACTGGGTATAGACAAAACTGAAGCTAGAGATGCCAATCAATGTAGCATGAAAATGGATGGTGTGAAGACCAGCTGCACCCCCGTGTATGATGCCAAAAAACTGGAAGTCTATTATTAAAGCTCTGCAATTGATTTTAAGGCTAGATCATGTATCTATTGAACCACCTCAATCATGTCAACAAGAAATTTGCAACCCAGGTTTTATGTATCCATGACCTTTATGTATGAAGGTTAGTGTGTGGCTTTATTATGGAAATTAATAGTTGGATAATTTTGTCAACACTCTGCAACCACTCTAGCTGCCAAGGAATCAAAAAAACAATGTCACCTGCAGGTGAACTAATATGTATCTTCATCCAACCCTTTATCATGTCCTCTTTGACCTCCTAGAACTCCATTGCAGCCCCTGGGAGGAGTCAGGGCCCTACCAACTACTTATTCCATTAGCAACTTCTCACTGAGGTAGGAGATCAATTGGGACTTCTTCCTACTAGTGATGTTTAGCTTTCCTGTCTCCATAGACCACAAATATTTCAGAGGCAAGAGGTCAGGAAATCAGTCTTCCACAGCAGTAAAACATGAGCCCTAAAAAGATCAAGGACTCCAAAAGCACATCCAAACAAAATTAAAACAGAGAGAAAGAAATGAAAGCCATGTCTGCAGATTGCTTGTCAATCAGTGTAAGCCAATCAGTCAAATGGTACACATGATTACAGAAGCAACAATAAATTTGGTATAATCAACTGGGCACGTTTAGCTGATCATTATGAATTCATTCTAAATGAAGGGGGAAAACCACTTTATTTGGTCAATTTGGGGTCCACTTAGCACATACACTGAAATCAAATGAGGGCCTTGATTTCATGAATAAAACATTCCATAATAAATAGTCTTGACCATACTTTGTACTTTCAAATTTAGTGCCTGGTGCCACATGTAGCCAAAGACAGACATTAGAATCTCAGCCAAACAAGTCAAGTCATTGCAACAGATGTGCCTTCAGCCTCCAAAGAGAAAAATCATATTCCCATGTAGTAAGAATACCCACCAATAATCAAAGTGACTGATAGGCATTAACATTACAGTTGTCATCACTAGAACCAGGAAATAAGCTGAGCTGTAAATTTTTTAACTTGGCTCCAACTTTCAGTATACTCAGCACCTACTTTGTAATTTGGGGGTTTGTCCATGCACCCCCAAATTTTGTTATTTACTGTCCTTTCTGTAACAACACAACAATGTTTGATTTGTGGGTTACCCTGTGCATACCAATCTTACTATTAAACTTTGGGTGGGTAGTTCCTAATCATTCAGTATTTTCCGTAAACAGTATTTTCTAGTGTGCTCTGTGAGTGTTTGCGTGCATGTGTGTGTGTGTGTGTGTGTGTGTATCTCATAATAAAAAATGTTTGTGGCTAAATACGATTGGGAAATACTGGGTCTAATTAAATGGGTTTCCTTGCTGTAAGACTTCTCAGAACAGTCAATGTGCCAATGAGTACTATGAATCTCTAAGAAAGTCATAAAACTTGTAGCATTTACAACCTTATTTGACCACAGAACACTTCTTTGGAGAGCTTCTGGGGGTGGGCAGATGGGGACATTTCTCCTTAAAATATACTTTGGGAAATATTGCTTTAAATGTCTCCCTTCAGTAACTTCCAAGCAAAGTATCAGATAGGAACTACCTGAATGGAATATACACTCCTTTGGATGCCCCCTATCTCTTCTGATAGGCATAAAAATAGTGTCTGGGGCATTGAGACAAGAGGGCTTCTCAAAACATCTACCTGGGCCATGTGAGAATCTCTTTATGTCAGTTCATTCAATCAACAAGCATTTATAGAGCATCCACAATGAACCAGGAGCTGAGCATTAATAACAAAAAAGGGCTAAGTCTGTTTTTACTCTGCCTAGTGGAGACAGAAATCTTCAATGATAAAGTGACATCTGAACCAGGTCTTAAAAGATGACCTCCAGGGATCAGGGTGGGCAGGAGACATTTTAAAGAGAAGGAGCTGTATATACAGAGGTACAGGTGCTTGAAAGAGCATTGTTCTGCTCCATTGAGCATCACTTCATTTCTGTATATACATGCCATATCACATGCTGGTATTTTGTAACGTGTTCCCCAAAGAAACGGGAACTGATGCTTGAAGGAGTTGGAGAGAGTTTGCCACTCTGCATAGCCTGCTGTACAATAAAGATCCACTCATCACTGGACTACAGCTTGCTTACCTAGGAGATGGAGGTGTCCCTTTATATATTACTAGGAACAATGGCAGAATGCCAAGGTGTGTTATAGCTCCACAAAATGTTTGATATTTGTAATAAAAATGATGGAGGCAAAGTAGGAGAAAGAGAAGTGACATTAATTAATGTATATGTAAATTGCCATAAATCTCATTTAATGGTAAATTATATGCATATATATGCATGTTTTAATTTACAGAATGTTTTTATATCCATTATTTCATTTGATCTTCACAAGAATCCTATGAGCATGGGCAAGGCAGATGTGATCAGTCCCCTTGTACAGACGAGGAGTGTGAGGTTCAGGATTGTTAAGATTAGTACAAAATCATATAGTAAATGACAATATCAAAACTAGAAACCAAATCTTCTGAATCTCAGTCTTATGTCCTTGATTTGTAATTTTCCTGCATTATTTCAAGAGACTGAAGGTATAGGGAAGCAGACTTATGCCTAATATAAGGAAAATCTTTCTGAAAATCATAGCTGTTGAACAGTAAAATAGGTTATCTTATGAAATGGGTGTAGAGGTAACTCTCAATTCTGAGATCAAATGATTCTAAAATTCCTAGGTCCTATTTCTCTAAGAAGATGCTTTGGCAATTATCCTCTACCTAGGCAGATCCTGTTTATTATATGCTTGGTGCTCAGAAGACAGATACTCTTAGAGAAATGCTTGGGAGTTGGAACTTTTCTCAATATCACAGATAAACCCATTGTTTCAGTACAACAGACACAAATCAGGTATAACCAATGCCTCTCACATCACAAAATTCTGGGAAACAGAAGCCACAAATCTATCACAATTACTAAGTGTATAATATACAAGTGAGTTTTCCCTGAAACTTAAACCCTTAGAGCACACATTATATATTAGAAATTATGGGAGGAGTCATAGTTCTTCATTTGAACACAAATCAGTCATTTTGTTGTATAGCAAATTTGCTTTTTTGGAATCCATATAGTTGTTCAAACACCAAAGGTATTTTAAGAGGTAAAATGTATGAACTGATAATAACCCACACTTGTCTTTTCTGATGGGGGACCAGGATTCTCTTTAGAGCCAACAGAACCAGCCACTGTTCCAATTCCCCTGGAACATTTTTTTGTATATTTACAGCTCCCTATGCCCGAGAGAATGGTGCATCTGTCTTATGGAGACGCCTGGCTGCATTCTTTCCCAGATATTAATATAGGTGGCACTTTAGTAGCATAACCAATGACATGAAGAACCTGATTTGGAGGGGAACAGATGGCAGTATCTTTCTTAGGCTAATTTTAGGATCTTGAAATAGTCCCTTTCTCACACAAACCATCAGTGGAACCAAATTAAGACAGCTATGTCACATGGGAAAGAGAGAGAGAACAAATATGGTTTAGTGTGAGGCAAAGACAAGAAGCCAGAAACTTCTGTGCCTCCCCCATAGCTGACTTCTCTCATAGCATATAAAGGTCACTTCAACTTCCTTTCATCAGAATGGATATTGAATACCAATGTAGGGTATCTAAGAAGAAATGAATGGGAAAATCTCATTTTTAGCCACATGTATTGAAAAATCAAGGTTATATCCTGTAATAGATAAATTCATATTCATAAGAATTTGTAGGACCTGGGGTCTAACACATCTTTTCTTAGCAGATAAGGAAGCTGAGGCTAAGTGACCATTCTACTTGGTAAATCAGAGGCAGATTGAATTTCAGAGCCTCAGATTTCTGATCCATTGGTTTGCCTGCTGAAAAGACCTTTCCTCCAAATGAACCATGTAATATCAGGTAGGGAGGATGAAATGTGGAGAAAGAGTCCCTCAACTAGAAATGATGTCTTAGGTATAACATGGTCATTCAAGCATTTAGAAAAAATAAGAAGAGTACTTTGAAAAAGTACATACCTGTTTTCCATCCAGAGTGTAGAGTTTTTTGACAACTCCGGTCTCTAGTTTGATGGCTTCAGTGATATCAGTGAGGACTTGCTCAAATGAGTGGGCTGTCTTCTTGTTCAGAAGCACACGCACCGCCTTCCGAGGCTTCACCCCACTGCGGATGATGGTCACCAGCTTGGGGCGCACAAAGTCCTTATTCTCCCTGGCCTGGGCACTGTTGCTGCTAGCCAGAGACTGGGGAGCTTTCATATTGGCAGATGTCTTTACGTTGACAGACCAGTTGGGATTGACATTCTTGGTGTACTCCACCTTTTTAAAGAAGTTGTCTGAGGAACAGACATAGCTTTCCCCTAAGGGAAGAAATAAGTAGTTGGGTGATTAGTTTAATAGCAGATATATGGACTTTTCTAACAAAACTGACGTTAGAGTAGAACTTTTGGAGAAATGATGATAATAACCAACCTTAGGTGTAATTCCTAATTGGGCTCTCTGACAACTTGGCTCAAATTCAAGAATAAGTAATCAGCAAAACATCCTTCAATATAATGGCATACCTAGTTGACAAACCCTATAAAGTTAAGAGTTTTAAGGACAATGAACACTTCTAGATTTAACACAACAAGTGGAATTCTCAAGCTTGTTATGCTTTTATTGGAATTTAAATGTTTACATTAGTTTCTAAGATGTTTAACTCCCAGGGATATTACTGGAGCATTTTTAACCTCTCTATTTCTTAAGGTTTCTGTGCTGTTTTTGGACTCATAACTCCATCCCTCTGTTATATTATGAATCAAGGAAAATTTGCAAAGTTGAAACATTTTTTATTCCAAGTTAAGGTGAACCAAGTAACCTTGCATAATGGGCATACAGTACATACATGTAAAAAAGGCCAGATTGTGCTTTGTACAGAGTATATGGCCAAGCAGTGGAATACTAAAATGTAAAATGTGTGAATGCATGCGTTGAATGTGTATATGTGTGTATCAGTGTGTCCTCTGCTGCTCACCCTCACACTCAGGTAGAGAAATTGTCTAAATAAAAACCTGTACATACAAATGCATGCAGAACATGCATTTGTGTTTGCAACATTCCTTGTGTTTGCAAGTCTAGCTCTCGCTTGGAAAACACTCTCTCCTATTTCTATTGCCCACCTCTTATCTTTCCATCCTCCTAAATGCTGCACACCAGATCTGTTTTCAGGGCCATCTTCACCAGTGCTCACCCTTGGCTGCCACAAGTAATGAGGTGGAGATGTGAGAATACATTATGCAGCCTGATTTATGGATTGAAGGGATCTAGTATAATTTTCACATTTACCTTGGGCTAGAGGAAATGACTAATACAGCAGAAGAAATGCAGGGGTCAGAGGCAAGAGGAGGAGATTGGACACCAGGGACTAGAAGCTGGAGAAAAAAGGAAGACAGATAGGCTCAGCCTGGGGGAGAAAATATTGGAAAAGGTTGAATATGTGGAGTAAAACACATTAGCCTCAAGGTATATAGAAGTTCATCCGGAGGTTGAGCTTCAGAAACAGTGTGATTTAATCAGACTTAAGTCATCAGTAATAACCCTAAATAAAAAAATAAACCCTAGCCAGTGCAAAGAAAGCATTAAACGCAATTATAATCTGATGGCTCTCCTTTGGTCTCTGCAGGAGAACCGCACAGAGACATTCAGAAACACCAGGCTGATAATTCATTCCCTTTGCAAATATTGATTGTTTTGCTGTAGCACCAAATCCTTTAAGTCACGTTAATTAATAAATTTATCAGTCAGTGCTAAGAGAAGCTTCAGCCAGAATCTCTAGGGAGCCTTTGAGGACATTTATGTGTGTATATGGAGGGGGAATCTAAGTGGCATCCAACATATGCAAAGTGGTTTCCAAAGCTGCACTCAGTCTCAGAAGCTGCTAGTGTTCTGTCTTGACAGGGGGACCAAAGGATGGTTTATAAGCAAGCACAGGCACTTTCCCCCACTTTGTACACACATGGACACCCTTGATAGGATGGCCAAAGACCCCAGCCAAGAGAAACTCTGATTTCTCTGGCTTTCTTGCTGACTAACCCAACTGAACCCAAGTGATTAGAGGCTAGGGTCTTTAATTTCCATCTTAATAGGATAAAAGGGCCCTTTCAGCTCTTCTGTATATTTACAGTCAATATTCCCCACACTAGGAAATGGCCTTTTGTCTTAGCATTTCACTAGATTCATGGGCACCTTCCAAGAGGTCATTGCCTTGGAGTCAGATGTTTTCCATATCTTGTCATGTACTTTAAAACTCTGTCAGACAACTGGTGGTGTGGAAATGTGTGAGGCTATATATTTATGATTTCACTCACTCAATCTCCTCTAGAGAGTCAGCTGTGTAGCCCTATTAGGACTCTGGACTTTTTTTGCTCCCATCTCTTAAACCTCTTAAGCCTCTGAACTATAAGTGTGATTAACCACCCCCAGATGAAAATGAACATGATGGTGACAGCTATAGTATCATATGGCACCCAAGAACTTTGCAGAGGGCCCAGCCCTCAGCCAAAACTGCGTTGAGCACCTTCCAATGGTACCTGAATATGGAGTAATGGAAAAAGAGCAGCTGATGTGATGTCAGCCAGAATGGGGTCCCCAACACTTTTTGGTTGTGTGTCCTTCGACAAGTTTCCTAATCTCCCTTGGCTTCAGATTCTTTTCTGCAAAGTTTGAGTGATAGGAACCAATACGTACCCCACAGGGTTGTGGGGCACAAATCAAATGATGGACAAAAAGTGCTGAGCCCAGAGCCTGGAACATAGTAAGTACTTGATAGATTATTATTTTTATTATTAAGCCCCTAATCTGAAGGAATAGAGGAGAGAACAAGGAATAAAGAGCAAAGAGGAAAAAGGAAGAAAGAGCTGAGAGAAAGGAAATGCAAAGAAGAGGAGTAGAAGCTGAAGGAAAGAAAAGAGAAAGAAGCCAGGGCAGCCACCTAGGAGCTGAGCTGTGATCATGATATAACAAGAGCACTGCTAGGGGCCCGTGCTTCCAAGATAAGATTTACAGCTGCTTGGGAGAGGGCTTCCAGTTGTGGCAAATGCCAAATGTAGGCGTTTTATGGCAGGCATCCAGCAAAGCCACTGTTGATGTTCACTGTGGGCAGGCTATTTATGGTGGTTAAGAGTAGTGACTAAGGAGTTAGACAGACCTGAGTTCGAATCTCAGTCAAGCACTTAGGAGCTGTGTGAACCTCAGGCAAATCACTTAATTCTCTGAATTTCAGCTTTTCCATTGATAAATTGAAGGTATTGTACTAAGTGACATCTGAGTCCCTTATAGGCCCTAGGACTTTTAAGTCTATAAGAAGGAATTCTTTTCTCTTTTCCGCCTCACACAGGCTTTCGGAAACAAAGCTGTTATGGTAATTATGTGTTAAAGAAATAGATGCCCCACCACCAACGACTCGCCACTTCTTCTACTGGAGAGACATCAAATGTGCCACTTTGCTAGACTGAGACTTCCTTGTTCTGGTTTTGCAAACATTTGCAATGTCTGCTGCCAGAGCTCTGTGCTTCCTGCACGTCCAGCTGCCTGGCGCTTGGAGCTGGGTGAGGTGTGTTGCACCTTTACACAGCTGGGTTCCCATCCTGTCACAGCTTCCAAGGGCCATTTCCCACCCGCTGAGGGCCTAGAAGGAAAGCTGGTTTCAGAGCCAAGGAAGGTGACAATTTGCTGGAATTGAAAACCTGCTTTAGGGTGAAGGGGTAAGGAAATGAAGTCATGTAAGTGAAGCACAGCTGAAAGGGAAGGCATGGAACAAGCTGTGGGCTCAAGATGATCTAATGTCTACCTCCCTTCTTTTTCAAGAGGGCTCCATTTTCAAAAGCATTAAGTACATTTAAATCTTCTCAGTGCAAAAGCACTTCTGCCGGGGCTTTCTCCTCTTCTCTGGGGCTTCCTGACTTAAGAAGGAAAATATTAAATGATACTTTATTGTATTATCATATCTATTAACAATGCATCCCTCCGAGGTATCTTAAAACTCTTGTCTTTGGCAATGTGCTTGCTTTAGTAGTTAGAGGATAAATTAGTGAGAAAGTGGTTTCATCTCATTGGAACAAATGAACTATGGCAAAGGAACTGGATCATAGCCAGTGTCACCATACAGCTCAGATTTTCCAAGACTGCTCCAATTGTAAATATTCTGTCCCATGGTTAGCATAGTAACTCTCAAACTTGTCTGAATTTGGGTTCAGAAAAGCTGGCTAGTCATAAATGATACCCCCAAGATTGATTTGGATACTCACATACAAAGAAATGGGAAAAGGATTGGACAAGATATAGGTGAAAGAGAAAGATTCAACAATGAAAAGCAAATGAAAGACATGACAAAAGGAAAAACAACCAATGGGTTTCATTCATTGACCTCCTAGGATACAGCTAATGAGGGCCACATCCTCCACAGTTTCACTAAGACCTGTGGTGTACCCAAGGAGTTGTGGGAAAGCTGACATCAATAACCCAACTTTGGTCCAAAATGCTCCCCTTGACACTTTCAGTATCTGGCAGGAGACAACAGACTAAAGGCACCAGACAAAGGGGTGCCACAAGGCCGGAGTAATTATTAACTCATTGCTTTTGATTTAATTTATTTTTAGGATAAATATGTAATAATGTGGCCATTTGGAAACATAGTATGTCTATGCCCTGTTATTCCTTTAAGATCTACAAAGAAAAAAACAAAACAAAGATTGCTACATACCTAGACATTCCTACTACTATAGTTAGCCTAAGGGGACCATGAGGATCACCTAATCTAATATTTCTCAAGTCTAAGTGCCCTTAAGAATCACCTGAGAAGATTTGTAAAAACACAAGTTCTGAGGCCCTAGCCCTGGTGATTTAGATTCAATAGATCTTGGGTGTGGCCCAGGAATATATATATTTCTAAAGCTCTGAAAGATTTTGAAAGGCAGATAGGTTTAGGAACCAATGGCCATTACAACCCTTCACTAGAATCATCACCATCATCATCATTATTTTCATTTTTATTATTTTCATGTCATTAATAATAATAGTACCTGTAGCTATAATTTTACCTTGTCAATGTGTTTCCATATTCATTATCTAATTTTATCTTCACAACTACCCTAATGCATAGAGAAGGCAGGTGTTCCTAGTCTCATTTTACAGTTAAGATATTGTTCACAAGAGATATACAAAATATGGTCTATATATACGATGAAATACTGTTCCTCAATAAAAAGGAATGGAGTGCTGATACATAGTACAACACGGATAAACATTGATAACATTATTCTAAGTGATAGAAGCACAAAAGATGACATACTGTATAAATTTTTGATCTTTCATTCAATCTCTTTCAAAGGTGAACAAAGTGAACTTCTATTCTCCATTCCCAGATGAGTAGTTTTAAAGGACAAAAAGGAGAGGAAATGGCCCATTTTCTTTATTCTCTTCATCCCAGTGCTCTTTCCCATCTGGCTCTGTGGCAGTGGGAAAAATTGATCACATTTCTCAACACTATTCCAGAGATACCCTTGAATTTCCTTGACTGAATGGGCAGCACTCAGGCCTGGAAAGGCATTGAGGTCTGCTGTGACTAGTAGTTGTAGATGACATATGAACAAAGGCAGCTGTGCCCTATTCACACTCTGTGTAGTCTGAGAATTCACCAGGAAGTACCACTGCACCCAGGAGTGATAGATGAGAGGAGTGCAATCTAGGAGGACTCCAAAGGAATCAAGGGAAAAGAAAGCTGCAGTCTTTTCAAATTACATTTATTACCTACCTATATTGAGCTGAGATTGTTTATCACCAGTTCTCTCCCAACACACACACCCCCCCCACACACACACACATACACAAAACACACCCCTAGAAAAATCTGTAAAATGGATTGGGGGAAAACTCTGTGCATAACACCTCTCTTATATCAGACACATGAATATTCAAAGCCTTGCTCTGAATACAATGGCATTTTGTTCAGAATTCTGTCCTAGCATCTATTATGGTCTTTAGAATATCACAGCAAGTGGAAATAAGGACATATAGGATGATTCAGAGTGCTTTGTTTGTGAAAGTTATTACAGAGAATCCCTCAAATTCGACTGACATATGGATTTTACAGTAACAAAAGACACACACCCTAACAATTACTCTGTTGGACAGCTCCCTCGACCTACCTTCAAGTCCTTCAAGTTTGCCCTGACTCTCCTTTATTTTAAGATATGCACTGGGATGGCCAATCCTTTGATGGTCGGGAAAGGCCTAGTATTAACCTCTGCTTTTCCATTCAGTACATGACCAAATAATCTAAGCCTCCTAGGCATTGCTTTTCAAGGTCAGCTATGTAGAAAAATCTCAGACTTGAACCCTGAGACTCAGATACAGCACCCATATAGATGCTATCTCCCATAAATAACTGGCCCCAATCACTCGGTATGACTACTTGGGAAACAGCAGCTACTTCAGAGAACTGGGGTCTTGTACACAGGAAGCCCTTATGCTCCTTTGTCTAGGAACACAAAAAACTTAGAAGCAGTGAAGCATAGGCAGGTTACTCCCATACCGAGTCATTGATGTGCTGTTTCTCCTTCCTTGTTGCGCATTTCATGATTTAGTTTCCCTAGAGATCTAAACTCACCTTTGCTCAGGGAATGGAGGGAGTGAGGTGGGAGGAATCGGTAATGGGGGAGGGGTTTGAGGAGGAACGTTTTCATTATCACCATTCCTTAAGGCTATTCTTTAAAGTACTGTATTAGGTTAAATTATTTGCATATGTTAGACCAACCAATTTAAAAGTAGGGATAGGAAAGCACCCTCAATATAATTGATTTGATAATGTACTATGTTAAGAACATGACTCAAGATCTATTTTCTAAATGATCACAAAGAAGACTTTATGGATATGCACGTTTTGGTAACAGCTGGGATTTCCCTAATTGGGGGCAGGTATACAGGTTGTCAGGATTTTCAGCATCTATTTGGAAAATGTAGTTGCAATACCAAGATCTAGAGAGGATTTAAAGGGATCTAGGTATAGTGAGTCAGTTCCTATTCTAATAGGAATGGTCTTTATTAAAATACCAGACATACCTACAGCTTTCTTTGGTATTTCTCCCAATGACCTCAGCCTTAGGGACACACCCTTAAGTGGGCTTTTTAGAAGCAACAGCTGGGCAGTGACCACTTACCTAAAAGAATAATCCTCTGTGACTTCGTCCATGAAGTCCTGTTCTCAGGGTGCATATCTCCAATGAGTTGCAATTCACAAATAATTTCTCAGCAGTTCAAAGGAAATTTGGGCATAATATTTTCTCTGTTAACCCAACCAAATGTTCATCCTCGTTACACCCCTATTGATTTTATGCTCTGCCTCAATAGTGCTACTCAGAGTTCATTATGAACAAGATCTAGAGTAAATGCCACAATTAAGATTTCCCTTTGTATACTCTGGCAGATAAACACAATGCATTATCATCACGATCCACACTTCAACCCCAGCAGAGACTGAGGGCCATGAAGGGTGATGGCTAATGGCCCTGTTGATGCCTATAGAATCAAAAATCTGAGCATCAATCAACCTGGTGCTTTGACAAATACGCTACCTAATTTCTTTCAATGTAACCCAAGAATGTAACCATAGCCAATAACGCCACCTCCCTCCAAGGGCCACCACCCACTACTTGAATTACCTTCCTCCAGTTCATCCATGCTTCCGATCTTCCTGGATCCATCAATGGTGTAAATGTAACGCACTCCCTGAGGCAGGTTGATATTGTCAGACAGAGATCGAGTCAGGTCAGCCAGCAAAGCGTCAAAGCTGCGAAAACGGTCAGAGGACACAGCGTACACAATCCCCTTGAAGTAGCGGTCCCCATTGCGGTAGAAACGTACCTTCTTGGCTTTCTTCTCATTGCTCAGTGCCTGCAAGGTTCTGGTTCGGTAGAAGCTACAGTGGGCGCTGTGAGTGGGGCTAGGCAGCCCGTTCATCCGGGACCCTCGCATGTTCCTGGATGCCTTATCTCTTTCGTCAAAGTGTCCAAAATCAAGTTCCATATTTTGGTCAAACCTCAGAGACCTGAGTGTTGGAAAAAGGGATGGGGGTGAAGAGAGGCAAAGAAAAAGGGGCGAGGAGGGAAAAGAAAAAAAAGAAAGGAATTCAAATATTAGCCAGATCCAGATCTGCAATCTGCTGCCTGTGAAAAGAGCTGGTTGAAAAAAAGCCGGTGACCCATCTGCTGTTTGCCCCTGACCTGCAGGAATATTGATCTTAATAGAGAAGAAGGAGGGGCTGGGCGGGGGTGCTGGTGGTTGTGGGGGTTGGGAATAAGAGATAGAGAGGGAGGCACTCTTGGCACTATTCCAAACAAGAGAGGGAGGGATTTTGAAATAGCTGAAAATCCTGGGACTTACTGACAGTGGCTCCTATCAAATTGTAACTTCGGGCTAAATACATTATAACTGGCATCTGTTTCCTCACACATGCCCACATGACTAACAGTTGTAAATGAATCCATAGCCTGACAAAATTCCCCTTGAAGAGAACAGAAGGAGCTAGCCAAGGTTAGCATCTCTAGCTTAGGAAGCAGTCTTTGCATCTCAGTACAATGACTATGAAGGGGAGTGTTTTAATTTTATTCCAAGCCCTCTTTCCTCCTCTACTGCGTGCATCCCCTCCCCCCAGAATAAACTAAGGTTCTCCTTTAAAGGGACAGCCTCCAGGGAATAGCCAGTGTCTTTGTGCTATTCATCAAACCCTTTCCCCACCAAGCTGGTGCAGCTATCCAACATTCATAAGAAATAAGCTGGAAAAAAAAAAGGATTAGAAAAATCAGTTATTTAACAATTTATTAGCTCTGCCTTCCCCTGGTACCATTTGGTCACAAAATCCTTTTCTTTTCCAGGTGCTCCATCCCCTCCCCACTGATGCGGCAACACCTCTTAATGGAATAATTTAATTGTGGAAAGATTCCCAAATGAGTCTCCACACAGCATATGGGACCTTTAGAAGCAAGCACACCTTTCATTGTTCTGGGTTTCTACCCTGACGGAAGGGGCATTTTGCTCTCACAACAGGCAATTAATTCACCCTAAACTTGTCTATCGCCCAGGTGCTTTAGCTGAGGCAAAAGATGGTCATTTGTCAGGCTTTGCTTTTCCCCCTTTTGTTGAACTCCCCCCGCAAAAAAAAAAAAAAAAAAAACCCAAACAATGAAAACGTACAACCAAATTCAACCGAAGCCCTAAACACTAGCAAAGGTAGTGACATCCGAAGAGCCAAACTATTAACATGCATCTCACAGATGAGGATAAAAGGGCTCACAAAGCAAGCAGGGCTCACCTGCTACACACTGCTGCATCAACATATTTGCAAGGGACCAGGGGGACAGGAGATAAAGAAGGACTGGTGCCTAGTGGGTTTGCCAGGCTCAGTCCCCTTTTTTCCCAATGTCACCATGACCTATGCTGAGCTCAGCATTGTCTCTGTCAGACAACCTGCAGCGCTAAGAGACCCCACCTCCTCAAGACAAGTAGCAAGCATTTCCCCAGGCTTAAAGCTTTTCTTTGCTTTTAGGATCAGAGGTAGTATTATTCTAAATTAACATCACAGTGAAAACAAAGGAACATCAAACTCACTTTTCCAAAGGAAAATCCCAGGTAGAGGCTTGGGGAAAAAAATCAAATAGAATAAGGCAAATAAGAAGAGCGAGAGAGGAGAGAGACAGAGAGAGCGCGCGCTTTGCCCTGTGCTTTTCCCGTTTGACATCTGTTACATTCTGCTTGAAAATCACTCGAAAGCCCCACTCACCGGTTTTCTGCTGGTTGGGTGGAGATGCTGAGAGAAAGAAAACCAATCTCTCTATGCCTTTGTTGTCTGAGCTCCAAGCAAGAAATTCCTGCCAGGGTGGATGGATGCCTTCTAGGTCCTAGTGCCTTGTCCAGCTTCTCCCCTGTAACTCAGCCTTAGTGAATCCCACCAACCTCCTATGATTAATTACATGCTTTTTTTTTTTTCAATTCACAGCCTGCATTAACAGCTAGAAAGGTTTCATTTATAACCAACAGGAAATTGCAGGGTAGCAAAAAGATTGCACAGGCAAGTTCAGAATGCTCTAATGAGCAATGTGCTAGTCCTTTCTTTTAGAAAATTGGCAATTTCATCTGGCCAAAACCTTGGCCTAATCTGCCTGGAGGCCTGACTCAGACAGCCAAACCAGGCTTCTTAGAAATTGTAGCTGTCTTCCTTTCACCCTCTTGAGAGAGAAAAAAAATCAAATCTGTAGCTTCTTTAAGGCATTTTAGTTCATGTATCCAATGACTGTTTGTTTTTGAAATAAGATCAATGGAATAGACTAAGGGGTAGGAAAAGGACAAGATAAGGGAAAATAGTTCTGGAATATCATGGAAGATAGAGTTGAAAAAGGACCCCCAAAACCTTTTAGCTTAGTGTAAGAATTTAGTTAATGAAATCTGTTTACCTTTCAGAGTTTGAGGGTTCAAACCCAACCCAGAGACATTTCTATGTGAAGTGAGCCTGATGGCCGCAAGATAAATATTAGCAGATTTCTCCTCAAACTGCCTATTTGTCACTAACTGGCTTCTTTATATCAAGTACCTTATAAAGAATAAGGAAGCATTCAAATTGAACTCATTAGATCAGACCAAACTATAAAACAAAAGAAGAGAAAGGTGAGAGACTAAATTGGGGGCAGGGGACACCCAATAACCTCCACAATTGAGGCTATATGCATTGATATGTAGCAGTCTTAGACTACCATGGTTCCATTTTCTTGGCTTCCAGGAAGCTCAGAGCTAATAGCATGCTCAGTAATTATTTTAGATCTGATTACCAGCACAATGAGCCCTCCTTTTTATATAAAGCTATTGATCTTTTATATTTAAGCATTTTCTGTGCATGTGTTTACTGTGAGCTCCCTCAAAGCAGAATAAAAAATATGATTGTCTTTCTTCTCTGACAGGTGTTGACTCAGCAAAGCCCAAGCTATGTTAGTTGGGTGGACATCCTCAGGTATGCAATCTGCCCAGTTAAGTCCTCCCAGTACCTTGCTGCTGGTTTCCTGGTTTCTAAACAAGTACCTCCCGGGAGTACATGTGTTTGCCTTTTTCTCTTCCATATGTTGTTGCCTTACATTGTGGCCACCTCTTGAAACATCAGGATTATTAAGGTCACAGGTAGAGAAAAATAAAGGAATAAGAGCAGGGAAATATGAAAATTCTGGCAAAGCTAATATCTTAAAACTTCTTTCTTACACATGGTAAACATTCGGTAAATGTGCAGCAATTGATTTGGCATCAGAATTCAAAATCATTTAATTTCCAGTAAGGATATAAGAATGGAAGGGATGATAAAACTTAAACATGAATGATTTGGAATATATTTTAGAGGAAATTTCCTCATGATATAGGCTTTGCAATACTACTATGTCTTTAGGAGACAGCCTAGGACAAATGACTTTGTTTGCTTTATATATATATATATATATATATATATATATATATATATATATATATATAGCAGAGAGCAGGGGGATGGACAAGATCAATATTTCCCAGTGTGAGGTATGTGGCTAATAGCTGTTCCTTAAAAGCAGAAAAAAAAATCTGTGTTCAAAAATGTTTGAAAAGTGATGGGCTAACCAAAGTTAGTTTTCTTTTTTTTTTTTTTTTTTTTTTTTTTCTGAGACAGAGTCTCGCTTGTTGACCAGGCTAGAGTGAGTGCCGTGGCGTCAGCCTAGCTCACAGCAACCTCAAACTCCTGGGCTCAAGCAATTCTTCTGCCTCAGCCTCCCGAGTAGCTGGGACTACAGGCATGCACCACCATGCCCGGCTAATTTTTATATATATATTAGTTGGCCAATTAATTTCTTTTCTCTTTATAGTAGAGACGGGGTCTTGCTCTTGCTCAGGCTGGTTTCGAACTCCTGACCTCGAGCAATCCGCCCGCCTCAGCCTCCCAGAGTGCTAGGATTACAGGCGTGAGCCACCGCGCCCGGCTAGTTTTCTTTATTGTAAAAATTATCAGGGCCTTTAATATCATTAAACTACGGCACGAGTCTCCAAAAAAACAATTTATTATAAAGGGATTCCATTTATTTTTAAAGCTTGTAACCTTTTATTCCCCCCAGAGTATTTCATAGATTAATGTTCTGTGAAAAAAGAGTTTTGCACAAACTGAACTAGATCATCTCATAAAGATATTTCTTTTCAAGGAACTCTCAGCTACTCACCAACACCCTTTTCCTTACTTCCTTGGTAGAAAAGGACCACTGGCAGAAGAGAAAGTCTCAGGTACAAGTCCAGGAGGAAAGTGCATTTTTAAATATGGAAGTCAACTTTGAAGATCAAGGGAGAATCATGGTTGAGGGCTCAATGTAGTGAAGAGATTGAAAGAATAGAATAGCAACCAACCCAGTGTAGGAAATGTAGCAGTAAGACCTTTTGAGTAATTACCATGTGCCCAGTATCACAGGCAAGATACAGAGTAGGAAACATCCATCACTGCCCCTGAGGGACTTGAAGACTCATTGAGGAGGTAGGAAAGGACTATGCATCTTGCAAAAATCATGAAGAAAAAGCATTTAGATCCTTCTTGATATACTCCAGTCTGTGTTAATCAAACTCAGTTTAACGAGCAGAATCAGGAAACAAAGACCATCGATCATAGACACACATACAAAAACACACCAAAAGAATTGTTAGTTTATGTTACTGATTAGAAGCACAGAGAGTAGGATCTGGTGTGAGGCAGAGTAAGCAAAAAGGAAGTGAGGTTGGAATGTATATAGATGTTTATGGGGGCCACAAAACTATAAGGTACCTAGTAATAAATCCAGCAAATATGTGTAGGGATCTTTATTGAGAAAATCATAAAACTATTGAAGAACATAACAGAAGCTGGGAATAAATGTAGAGCCAGACAATACTCATGGATGGCAAGATGCAGTGCTGTAAGGGCATCAATCCTCCACAAAGTAATTTGTATATATGAAGAAATTCCAATAAAAATTCCAATAGGAATTTTGTGAAACCCCAAAAGCTGATTCTAAAATTTTTGTAGAAGAATATAAAGCTCTAAGAATAGCCAAGATCATTGTAAAAAAGAGGAATTAGAAGCCAACATTTAGCCAATCAAGATTTATTATAAAGCTACAGTAATGAAGATAGTGGGGTGTTGGCGTGGAGGACAAGGATTAATGGAACAAAACAGATGCCAGCATAAACAGGACTTTGCTATAGTGTGATGCAGTGGTAAGAACATGGATTCTGGAGCCAGACTGCCTAGGTTCAAGTGCTGACTCTGCTAATTATTGGCTGGGCACCTTGGGTGAGTTACTTAACCTCTCCATGCTTCAGTTCACCTATCCATCTGTCATATGGGAGTGATGATAATAGCAGTACCTATCTCCATTGTTATGAGGACTAAATGAGCAAATTTATGTACAGTGCTTAGAACAGACCCTGGCACATAGTATATATGATCTTAGTATTAGCTTTTGGGGTTTTTTTTGTTTTGGGGTTTTTTTTTGAGACAGAGTCTCACTCTGTTGCCCAGGCTAGAGTGTCGTGGTGTCAGCCTAGTTCACAGCAACCTCAAACTCCTGGGCTCAAGTGATCCTTCTGCCTCAGCCTCTCGAGTAGCTGGGACTACAGGCACGTGCCACCATGCCTGGCTAATTATTTCCATATATTTTTAGTTGGCCAATTAATTTATTTCTATTTTTAGTAGAGATGGGGTCTCGCTCTTGCTCAGGCTGGTTTCAAACTCCTGACCTTGAGTGATCCTCCCTCCTTGGCCTCCCAGAGTGCTAGGATTACAGGCATGAGCCACCGTGCCCCAGCCTAGCTTTTGTTATTCCCCAAATATTCATGTGCCAGCTCCCTCACTTCTTTCCAATCTTCAACCAAATGTCAACTTCTCAACAAGACCAACCCAGACCACCCAATTTAAAGTTATAACATTCCCTCCCAACACAGCATTCCAAATGTCCTTCACTTTGTTTTAGTTTTTTATAACACATCATATTCCAACATATTATATAATATACTTGTTTATTATATTTATTATATATCTTCCTGAAGTCGAGTATAAGCTTCATGAGGGCAGGAATAGTCTGTCTAACAGCTTTAATGAAATATAATTCACAATACCAATAGGAATATTTTTATCTGTGTTTTTAATACAGTATTTTAAGTTCATAGAACAATATTAACACATAATAGGTTTGAGTATTTGTTGAATTGTATAGAATGGAAAGCATGGAGTATTCAACAGATAGTATTGAGACAATTAACTTTCATATGAAAAAATAAATAAATTATATGCTCACCTCATACCATACCTAAAAATAAACTCCGGATATTTTAAAGACCTGAATGTAAAGAACAGTCCTTTAAATTATTAGAATGAAGTATAAAAGATTGTCTTTAAATTTTTATGGTGACATACTTTCTTAAACAAGGCACAAAAAGCATAAATCATATATGAAAATATTGATAAATTTGATTACATAAAAATTTAAAGCTTCTGAAGGCAAAGGACAACATCAAAACATTAAAAGATAGAAGAACATTAAAAGTAATAGACTGAGAAAATGTATTTGAAACTTATTTAACTGACAAAGGATTAGTGTTCTGATGTGTATATGTGTACGTGTGTATGAATATATAAATGACATACAGAATTTTGGTTGGATTGAAGGCAAAGTTTTCATAGACCAAGTAGCTGCTTTAACAGAGTTTTATAGTAGAATGATAATGATAACCATAGGCTTGCTGTTTCTGACTGTGCTGGAGGCTTAAATAATATGACAAGGTCAATATTCAAAATTCTCAACTCCAGGCAGGATCAGAAATAGCTTTTATGACTGCCCCAAAAT